TCTCTCTCTCTCTCTCTCTCTCTCTCTCTCTCTCTCTCTCTCTCTCTCTTTCTTTCTTTCTTTCTTTCTTTCTTTCTTTCTCTTTCTCTTTCTCTTTTTATAAATCCCGTAGCGTGTGCCGGCTACACCTGACCTCTAAATCCTTCGAACAAGGCGCACAGACCATGATTCTACTTAACCCACATAAAGTTCCTCTCTCCGCGTCGAAGACTTAGAGTCGAGAATGGTGATGGCGAGGTCGACTTGGGGAAACGAGCGGCGCCTGGGGACTTGCAGTTGCAGCGTGCAGGAGTTAATCCTTGATAAATCCTCGAACTCCGTTCTAATTCAGTATTGAGCACCCTTAATTTCATTCCGTCAGTGACCTTTTAGCTTTGAACTCCGAAATCGATCTCGATAAAGATTGAAAACTGCTCGAAGAATGCCAAAGTAATGCCGAGTCTAGAGATCGAAAAATGTTGATACGGACTTTTGTCATTTTCTATAAAACGAGATCGTTCCGCATGTAAATTGTTTTTCGAATAATTCAGCGGACCGAATATCAAAAATTATTTCAGAAATTATTATTGCAAATATAACAGCATTATTTTATAAGCGCGTACGCGCGCGTGATGCGAGAAAATGATTGAGAAAATTGTGTGTACCTATTCGGTGCCAGCTCGAATAATGCAGAGCAAATATAATTGTCGCAGCAGACGCAGCGAGACACAAATAATAAGCCATTTTCAAATTGTATTATGTTATTGTGCAAGTCTCAGTATGAAAACAGCACGGTTGGAAATAGGAAGGAAACATCATCATAAAACGTAATTCGTTGTGCTGGCTCTTCTCTCTTTTCTTTCTTTCTTTTTCCAAATAATATCAAAAGAATTTAATTTGTGCGTTAAAAAAGAAACGCGTATCCAGCACTGCATTTATTTATCAATATTTTGTCTTATTGTATTCAGCAAATATACCTATATGCGTATGTAATATAGGAATTAATAAGTAATAGGAGCTAATGAGTTTTTAAATATATATTTGTATGCTTTTAAAGATGTGTATATATATATATATATATAAGATATTCCTTCTGTTATCTAAATTTTTGTTATTTGGCAGTAGTTTTATTTTATACAGATATGAAATTGATACCGAATCTTATTTAAACTTCACTCTATATTCTCGCGTTTCGCGCGTTCTCTATCGGGAGTTCGATCCGTAGCTCAGTGATTCACGAGCAGTTCGGCGCGAATGCGGCAAAAACCCGGCCATTACCCGCATGAGAAAATTTGTGACTCTCAAATATTAGTTCACGCGGCGCACGATACGTAATTTATTCGCGGATACACTTACATTTCGAATAATTCGCGCATCGATCGGATCTATTTAATAATGCAATAATGCTACTTATCGGAAATATTATCGATTCTTTTGTAAATGCAGATGTAACATTCACGTCGCGCCACTAATATATTATGTAAAAATTAATCAAATATCCTTCGTTGATGGATTTTGCGGCATTTGTGTGTAGCGAGATAAATGGAGCAAATATTAGCTGTATGCTGACGTATTTATACGAGGTAGTAGGAGATTGTGGCGGATGAATCGCTTCCGCTGTAACATCGAACAAGGATACGTGAATCTGACCAAACATTATCGATTCACGCAATTGTTTAACGTTCGCGCTTGTATGGAAAATCAATCATTATACAACCGTAATTGAATTTTTGTTTTATGAGAAAATATGTATTAAAATTTTACAAGTTGCTAATTATCCTTTATTGAACAAAGGAATTAATAATGTAATATTAAATAATTCTCTCTCTCTCTCTCTCTCTCTCTCTCTCTCTCTCTCTCTCTCTTTTGCAAAAAAGATTTTATTTCGTATTTATACAGTGCGCCCGACTAGGTGCCCGGTCAGCTTGTGTTTTTTATATTTTTATTTTTTCCAAAGTGTACAAAAGATCTCGACAAAATTTGATACTGAATATTATAGCCATGTGCAATACATAAATTGAGCGTGCGAAAAAAAACAGAATATCAGTTCGGGTTAAAAAATGATACGCGAAATACGATCGACAAATTTGCAATCGATCCGAGTTAATTTATATCGCGGCTGAGACGGCGCGTACACTTTTTTCTCAATCCAAGACTAGTGGCAAAAATCAGTAAAAGCTGAGAAATGCCTCCATATATCAACGTTAAGCCGCTCCATCAGACGCATTCGGATATTATCGTGAATGGTGCTGATGGATACCGAGAGACTCACTTCATTTAACACTTGATACACTACTCTCCGAGTGCATGCTTATAGCACACGCATATATGGCCATGCTCGTTCGCCAGTATATAAAGGTTATAGTCTTAGAACTACCGATACTACCGATAGTATCAATAATTTCTTTCTTGTATGCGAATAAGTAGTGGATATGAATAATTTTTTACGGTATATATAGATATACGATAAATTTACGAAGGTTAATATAAAAAAAGGAGAAACGATGGTTCTTTGTCTGATATAGTTCGACGTAAGAGCGTACTTGAGTTTTTGAAGATAAACACTACTCTCTAACAATATTCACAGAATGGCCAGAGACACAGTAGACGGAATATAAATAAAAATCGACGAGAACGGCGTTGCGCCAACAACGTATTTGTCATTATACAGTGTGTTTTTGTCATTATACACGTTTTACAGATTCATTTTTGATCCCTGACCGAACTGTTTCTCGTTTCGTTCTCTGTCTCTTATCTCTTTTGTCTTCTTCCGCTCTTTCGCGCTTTCCTAGCGTGTGTGCGTATCTAGATGAGTCGCAGCATTCAAAGCAGACTTAACATAACATCGAAGATCTTTCTACGCGCGTTCTTTGCCGATGCTTATCGAAATCTTTATGGAAACGAGCTTGTATAAAAGTGCGCGCAATTCATCTTGACTTAAGAACAGTATTGAGGCAACGAGATTAAATTAACACAGATTTTTATCAGATATCGGACGTTCTTTGTTTCTTAAAAGCGCAAATGCGGCAATTGAATTAATAAAAAAGAACATTTATCGAAGTACGGATAGAGACTGCTTGTAGTCCAAGAGTAACGTACCAATAAGTTGCCGTCTTCTAACGAAAGGCACATCCTGTTACAGTTGCCTGAATAGAGCGGATTTAATCAGGGTGCACGACGGAGCGGATTCAGGGGCGCCTACAATAGCCGTGCTCTGCAACCAAGGAGCGGAAGTGGAGGTACTCAGCACGGGACCAGATCTCTACGTCGAGTTCGTCGCTAATTCCGACTGGCCAGGCCAGGGCTTCAAGGCGACGTTTCAATTCCAGCCATTGGACGATGCGCTGCATCTTGGTCGGTAACGAACGACGATTACTTGTCGGTATTACAAAAATCCGTCTTCTACCGTATCCGGATTCCGCTGCAGCTTACCTCTTCTTGCTTCTTCTCTCTTTCCTTTTCCTTCTTCGATATACAGCTTCTCATCTTATGCAATATCCTGTAAAATTGCAGTCATTGACGGAGTTCTTCCGTTCAAGTAAATTTCAAAGCCGCGGAACATGCTATTAAATTATCTCTATTACTTCACGTTGCATGCTAACCGGTCAGATGTAGCATCTCTTTTGAACTTTATTTTGTCCAGACTATTTATCTAGATTGTCTTTTTCTTCCTCGCAACGTTCGCGCAGTCGTTTTCCATCGTTAAGTTATTTATCGCGTAGAGTTTTTGCAAATTCTTTTAAATTTAAACCATATATTAAGCAAAAGATTTTGTAAGCGCCCGTAAAAGTTTTACATAACGTTTGATCGTCCCAAAGCTGAAATAATTACAATCATGAGTGACACTTTTTGCACGTGTTATATGTGTAAACTTATTGAAAAAAGTATATTTTACACTCTAGCTACCAAACTATTCTTGCAACATGATAAAAAACTAGTATGCGGTAGATTATCAACATACAAATATTATAAAAAAATTTAGAATTATTGTCAAAATAAAGCTGCAAAAAGATTGCTATATTTCTTGACAAGGGAATTAGGCAGGTAACAGTGGCAACAATGTCGTCTCTTACACAACATACTTGGATTTTGGCACACCACTTTTTTGTGATTTTCTCACCTCGGTCATAATCGAAATTGCTTTTAAGAGGTTTTTTTAGTACTTGTATCAAAATTAATAAGTTATTTTAACAGTTTTGTTTGACAGTTGAGCAAACTAACTGATTTGGTTAGACGTGCGCGATATTGCCAAATTGCCGTTTATTGCAAAACGTGAACAACTGCTACTAAAAGTTTACCGCATCGATAAAAACAAATTTTTTACAAAGAGCATAATAAAACTATTTGTTTTTACACTAATGACATACTGATAAAATAAAGTCCAAAATAATCGGACTCTATTACGTGTAAATCGAATTCTGAGAGCACGTTTTCATAGCGTTGTCAAATTTTTTATAGCGTGAAACTTTTGAATGAGATTGTCGCACGATGAATAAGAACGATATATATTCTCGTAAAAATTGAATTTGAATTTCACACTTTCTCAATAATAAATAGTTATTTAATGTTGCGTTTCAATATTGTAATAAACTTCTTTGTATAACAAAATCTAATCTTGATCGTAAATATATATACGTTCTTTTTAAATATCTGATATAAAGAAACATTATAATAATTACAAAAAATTAAGAAAAAGAAAGTAGTTATCGAATTTAGTTGCTGTATGTATGATAACGACACAGTTCGCGCGCGGACTCGGTCGGTATTGTAGCTTCAAGTAGAAGACGTTCAAAAGCTCAGCGTGGCGCGTCGCTGCACGAAAGCATGAAAGCGCCAACGTGAAGCAGAATTTTCACGAAGCTTTCCGGAGTAACATTCGAACTTTTCACGGTCGGCAAGGAAGGTTGCAAAGTTTTCCAGCAAACTGTAACATTTAAAGAGAGCTTGCAAGCTCTCTTCTCTGCACCTTTGCTTACTTGGTAATTTATCAAGATCTTTTGAGTACTTTAACTGTTCGTTAAACTTACCTGTTGCTATTATTATTGCCATTAACAGATATGCGGAACAGTATGATAAATATGATATAATGCATGATTGATTATCTACTGATAATCGGATTTTCTACTTTACGACCCGACGTTATGATGTAATTATCCGCGCTAATAGTGCTTTCACTCATTAGACCAACGTGTGCATGTCGTAAATATCAATATTGACATTCAATCACTACTTTGACGTAATGTAATGATGTAATGATTAATGCGTCGCATCTTCATTTCAAAGAGAAGAAAATACGCGAGTGCACCTTTATGTATTTACGAGGCAATGCATCATGCGATGAATTCCCTCTTTGTGTTAAGGCAGATTGGCTGCAGTCCATTGCATACGCGACTCCCCGTTGTAATTAACGGCACTGTATATTCTGAAGATAATTACAATAATGTGTTTCAGAGCCGGACAAGGTCCCGGGGGCCGTTACAGGGAACCCCAAGTACTCGGTCATCGGACCGGCTGTCAGCGCTACTAGTAAGTACACACTGCGCACGTTGTGCACGCGCGATTTATCACCTTTCTTAATCAATAATTGTCTTGCTTGCGTCCCATGATACTTCCTTTACTAGAAAAAAAAATCGCGCTGACTAAATTATACGCGGTGCAAAATCGATCTCATCTCTTAGAAGAAGCAAGTACTTTATTTTGATAAGCATATTGTAAAAAACGTGAAGACACTTCTTGCTAATGTGTGTGACAAGTTTACTGATTTATATTACAAATTCATTGAATTCTATAGTAAAAGAAGTTATAAAAAAAAAATTGTGTCAACAGTAGGTTTGGAAGGACTTGAACGTAATCCAGAGAACGTGACGTACAGTCGAAGAAACATCATACCCTCGATGTAAAATAAAATTTTACTCTGAGCGTAACATACTTTTATGAAGTCTGAAAGAATAAGTGTAACATCAGCGTTGGAGATATACGAGTTTCTCGTCGTTGTTTAAAGGGATTATTTTGATGTCTTCAACATGAGCGCCGGCGAATACGTGTAGAAATATGATTTTCCCCAGAGCACTCGGCACATAACTTCTCCGTAACGCAGCGGCGTATAAACTTTGTGAGTACTTTGCGCGCTTGTAGAATCATCATTCGTACGTTACGGATGGTGGCAAAAGCACGACGGACTACGAAGAATTTTACGGCTTTTTCATGAAAATAAGATGCTTGTCTTATATCCTAAGTATCTGCTATAAATTCGTTTGACAAGTAGCTCCAGTCGATGACCCAACTTCCGTCTGCTTCCGTATTGTGTGTCGCAGCTTTCGCGGGCAATTTATACATATATATAGGTATAACACAGAAAACTTGGCAGAGTATTTGAGAGTATCGGCGTAATTTTTATTATCGCGCGTTACGATATAACGATAAAAAAGCGTAATGGAAAATTTATTGATGTTCAAATCAAAAATGTCGATATATCTTTGATATTGAATCCTTTTTTCAATCGCAACTCTTTTCGTGAAGGTAAATATAAGTTCGAATGTACACTTGTATATTCACAATTCTTTAAATTAATGCGTAGATTCAAATTATTCAAATATATTCCCGGGCTCGGGCTCTAATCTCAATTTGTACGTGAGACTCTAGACCTCAACATGTTTACTCATGTAAATCTATCTCTTAATACGGGTGAACAACAGCAGCAGCGACGAGGCGGTGGAGGTAGGAATGCGTGGCAATGAGAAGCCTTTACTAGCACAACGGGAGTCGTGAGAGTACTCGAGGTTCGAATAGGAGCTGCCCTATGAGATACCGAAGCTTACGAAGGTCGATCCCATCTTGTCTTCCGACCCTCCTCACGCGACGCTCAGGTTTACCGTAAAACACGACGTGCGATGTATCTATATATGCTTCCCAATATGTGCCTCTGTCCTGCTTTTGTATGCGCATGACTCTTCGCTAAGTGCTCTAAATTATCCGTGCAACTACAATGTAGATGTTTTCAAAGTAGACACTCGGTTAGGAAGGAATTGATTACATAGTAAAAAAATGTGAAACTGAGACATAACCATATGACAGAATTGCCAAAGGGCGTGGTTTCGAGCAGCTCTGCTTTAAGATCGTTGCGCGCACGAGGACGAGTTAATGGTCACTCGTAGGTGATTGAAATGTTTTCAAAGCGACACCGTAAGTTTCGATCACAGATCCATGGCACGTCTGTGCACCGGTAGTAATTACGTAAAGTGAGAATGAGCAATGTCGTCGTCGTCGTCGTCGTCGTCGTATAGCGAGAGCAGGTTTCATTTGCGTAATTGGGTGGTTACATGAAAATATCGGCGGTTCGCGCGCGCGCTGTGAAAACCCACTTACCACACCGCGCGATGCGGATTACCTTCCGCATAGTCTAGTCCTTTTTTTCTTGTCTTTCTTTTTTTAATCGAACGTGTGCGCGGCGCGAAGCGAGCGTGTCGATAAGGTAATTACCGCAGAAATTAAGTGCGCCGATAAATACAACGGGGAAAGTTGTTCTATCGGAAACGAATGGTCAAGTTTTCCAATTTCCTCACACCCAACTATGCGTGAGAGAGAACGAACTGCCGAGCGAACGGCGCATACTGGCCGCGCAATAACGTGTACATTCGGTATCACTTTACATGTTCGTCGTCCAGTGTGCTGCTGTTTACTGCGCGGAATGAAAGGAATAAGCAATAAATAACGTCCTACGGACAAACGCGCGCGCGAGCATCAAACGAGGGTAATGTTCCGCTAAACGTGTATATATATGTATGTACGCCAGCAGAAACATTAGCCCGGACGAAAAATAACGTATTTCGTCGCAGATAATGCCAGCCGCGAGACGGTAAATTCTAATGGCTCCGTCGCGCGAGACTAGTTGAGAATGCGGGAGTTGAAAAAAAAAAAAAAAGAAAATACAAAACGAAACAGAAGGCGTACGAATGATGGATCGAAATTCTGCAATTTTCTCTCTCCGTTCGAGAAAGTGCTATGTATGCGCTATGCCCGCGTTTAAACTAACTTTGCAAACGACATAACGTTGTTTCCCGCTATTTTACGCTCGTCTTCAAGCCGGAAAGTACGCTTTCCTGCGAAACTAATAATAACTTTCTGCAGTGTATGTGTGCATGCTCTTCGCACTTAAGATGTGAGTGTCGCGAAACTTTCTACTGCGCCGTACACCCCGGTCGCGATAACAAATTTCCTTTATTATCAACGCGATTTAATTGGCATTGAAATATCGTTCTCTTCCTGTCAAGAAGCTCCGAATAAGAAAACCCATTGTAACTACGGAATATTAAATCTCGGAAAACATTATACATTATATACGTTGCAAATTCAATCTTTGTTTTTTAATTTAAAAATTGCGCGCGAAAACTTGGCCAGTTCGGCACCGACGATGACACACGATATATATATCGCAAATTTCAAGGATCTCGCATATCGGCGAGTAGCAATGGTTCGATGATACTCGGCGTGCTATTTCGTAATTGCGATAATGTATATATACCGCAACAATATTGGCCGACTCGAGATTGATATACCTTATAATTTATAAAAGGAATGACAAATTTACAGGGCTGTAAGTGGAGCGCAAGCACTTCAATTTTATATTCTTGAATATTCACGTTATTCATCAGCCATGAATATGCACGCTCGTCTAGCGCATTGCACACGTATCTAGTTAAAAACATTCTACTAGCGTGATGCTGATCAGGTATACGCGGACGCATATATGTACATAACGGTAAATTTCCTACATAATGGATATCACATTGATGCCACACACCCGTGTTAGTTACACGTTAATTTATTAACCGCGCGGCTCGCAAATGTATAACAGCGTTACGTTTGTACGCACATTACAATGGTGAAGGAATTACTCTGTCCACGGTAATTCCAAAACTTCTCTTCGGACAAGTATTCGTATAACGACGGTAAATATACTGTAATTGTGATTCACTAGAAATTCACTCACTAGTCGCGAGTTTAAATGGTCGATCGTTCAATGTTCTCATTTGGGAAAATAGGATTGTCAATAAACGCAACGTAATCATGAATTGCGACTCAAGACAATGTCGTGAACGGACAAAACTATTACACAAAAAAGAAATGTATCGCGGCGGAACGTGAGCGATTAATTAAATTACACAAAGAAAGAGAAAATACAATGTACATGTCGTTTCGGTTTTCCGTCAAGTGCTACTACTCGACAATGTACACAACACAGATGGAGTTTGATTATAATAATGTTAGCCATAAAGCGCGTCCACTTGCGTCCACACGTCAGATGCAGAATGACCCACTCAAAACAAAACGATCTCGCGTGATAAAGTAGATACCTACTAAGGTGGATTGAAAAATAAAGATCTATAGGATTCTCTCATCGATGACTTGTCCGCCGAAATTTACGGACGGGACATCATGCCCCTTATAATTCTTTCCTTTTAATCCTTCAAAAAAAGATTTCTTAAAATTTGAAAGAGTTTTCGTATAGCATATAATTATCGAAGAAATTACCGTAACGTCTCACATATGATCTATAAAAGGAACTGAGATTTAAAGATGATGTCACATTCGCATAATAAGTGCCTAAAAAATTATTGTTATTTTTTTTAATAATTTCTTCCCGTAAATGTTATATCAAACTCTAAAATTGATTTGTTCGCGTTCTCTTTTCTTTTCGCTCCCATGCGAATAAACGCTGTGCTGCAATGTAAAGCAAACGTATGCCGCACGAGCTATTCACAAACATTATGCAACGAGCAGCATTAACATGTAGCTGACGGTAATACTCGCTCGACTCACCTCAGGAATCATACGGGACGCCGATAAATCGTCGCGGCTGCAAGCAGTGGATCTCTCACCGGCCGAGCCGTCGGTTCGGCGAGTAGTTATCGATTTCTTTCCTTCTCGAGTGTACGGACGAGGAAATACCGAAAATCGAACGTTCCAATGTGCAAGACTCTGTCGGAAATGTATAAGATCCATCCCGCTTTTCAGGAATTGACGTTGAAAGAGTCACGATTTACGTTTAGCTCTTTTCTCCAATAGAGAAAGAGGAAAGGAAGCGACGAGAAGAGGTGAAGGAGGGACGGTGACCCTTTAGGAAGCCGTAGAAATCTAATAGACCACAAGCGAGGATGAGATATTGCCTCGGAGATCGGTCTCGATCGATGAAGCGTAACACTACTTACCCTAGCGTATCGTGAAATTCGTATTCAACCCGTTTTCACGAGAGGAGAAGAGTGCGGAGACTTCTCTCGATCGTTTTACCACCTTGTCTGCGCGCGCGTCTTGACGATTGAATTAGCGGCGCAAACGATTTCACTTCCTCATGCGCCGACGATATCTTCTTTAATGTCGCGCGAATAAAACGAAGGGGAAGTTTCATATCCGTTGTCCAGTGAATATAAAACTTCCTGTTTAGCTTGGCTCGCGTAAAATTATATGTATATATAACGTTGACGCTATATTTATATGTTTAATGAACTGTGTGTTGTGAATTGCCGTGA